AGACCAGTCTGACTTTAAACTCTAGGATGGAGAATGAATTTTTTTTTTTTTTTTAAATCAGGGATTGAACTCGGGTACTTGCACTTGTGAGGCAGGGAGCACCACCACTCAGCTAAATCCCTGGCCCATGGAGAATGAATTTTTACACGGTCTCAGAAATAAGCATATTAAGTTGCATGTTATTTTGTACTTTCATTCTAAAATTCTGAAATTTTATACAAGTTAAATTTAAATGAAGCTATTTACTGCCTTCTCTATGAAGGCCGAAAATCAACAAATATTTTAAGATAGTTTTACTGGCACAATATTTTTATAAACGTATAAATCTAAAATGCTGTTTCTTTTTATGTAACCAGTATGTGTAGCGGAACAAAAACTGAAAAGTATAAAAGGAAATACCTTGAAAAACAAAGTCTTGATGCTGTTACTTCCCTCGGGTGACAAGGAGCCCCAGAGCAGCTCTTGCTACCAGTTTCTTTTGTATCCTTTCACACACACACACACACACACACACACACACACACACACACACAACACACACACTCATGAAATTTTTGTTCAAAAATATATAATATAGGGCTGGGTTTGCAGCTCACCGTTGGAGTATAGGCCCTAATTTCTATGAAGCTCTGGGTTTAATCTCCAATGCTCGGGGGAAAAAAAGACATTTTTAAATTTTTGTTTGTTTTGAGACAGGGTATCTCTATTCATGATGGCCCTGAACTCACTATATAGTCCAGTTGGTCTCGAACTCACAGTGATCCTCCTGCCTCAGCCTCCTGAGTGCTGGGATCACAGGCATGCACCATCATGCTTGGCTTGTAATTTTTAAAAACTAATATTTATTGAAAATTGTTTAATGTCAGTATAACAGCAGTATATTGAGACATGACTCAATCATGTGTCTGTGAGCTGGGAGCTTCCTACTCCTCTTCCTGCAACCATAGGAACTGCCCTGCTCTACCCCTCCTGGGAGGAACCACTACAATCTCCTTTCAATATGGTGACCAGCAGAATCCTTTCCGGGCATAGGCCTGAATGTTTTCCATTCAGAGCAAAGCTAAGACTTTCTAGTTCTCTACGAGGTCAGTTCCCTGACAGCTACTCCTCTACCACCCACTTGCCTTTCAGCCTCATCTCAACCACTCTCCCCGCAACTCACTCCATTCTTGTCCCCATGGCCTTCTTGGAGTTCCTTAAATACAACAGCAGCCTCTTCCCCGAGGCACAGGTGGAGGTTCCTGGGCAGGACCTTTTGCTGTTCCCGGCACACCTCTGCATGGGTTTTCCCTGGCCTCCTTTTTGTCTTTGTCTAAAGGTAACTTCTCATTCCTTAACAACCCTTGCCCTGCCTCACATGCAGTTCCATCCTACATACCCACTGATGTTTCTCTGCAGCCCTCATCAGCAGGGACACACCATATAATTCACTAAATCACTGCCCGTGTACAAGCTCCATGGGACCAGGAAATTTTGTCTTTTTTTCCACTTCTGGGTTCTCAGCACAAATTCTGCACCAGATAGTATTAAATGAACGAATGGGTGAATTTATACATCTGTAGTAGAGTTCCATTAAGGTGACTCAGTCTAGTAGAATTTATCCATTGCCATATTTTGGGATTTTCATATCATTTTGTCTCATGACAATGGTAAAGTCAGTGCTTCACTTCTCTGCTTAACTTCTCCAAGCCTTAATTTCCTCCTCTATAAATCAGGGCTAATATTTGTACCTATAACTTATAGGGCTCCTATGAAGATCAAAACTTTTAAAAAATTTAAAATGGTTAGCATCATGCCTGGCTAATATTAAGTTCTCAGTAATATGTGATTACTCTCATTGTAATGATTAAATTTGATTCATGAGACTGTATGCTTTAATATCTTATATGTGATATTAATATCCAACCCACAGTATGGGAAAAATTTTTTGCCAGTTGTTGCTCAGACAAACGACTAATACCTGGAATATGTGAAGAACTCAAAATATCAGACCCCCCCCAAAAGACTACGCATCTGAAATGAACAGACATTTCTCAGATGAAGAAGTAGAAATGGCAAATAAATATATGAAAAAATGTTCAACATCACTGATCATTTGAGAGATGCAGATGAAAACAACACTGAGATTCCACCTCACTGCAGAAAGAATGGCTGTTATCAAGAAATCAACCAACGACAAATGCTGGCTGGGATATGCGGAAAAAAGGAACCCTTCTCTGCTGTTGGTGGGAGTGCAGAGTGGTGCAACGACTGTGGAAATCAGGGTGACGATTCCTCAAAATACTAAAACTAGAGATTCCATTCAACCAAGCTATTCCCCTACTTGGGGAAAGAATTAAAAGCATCATACCACATTGATATATGTGCATCTGTGTTTGTAGTGGCACAGTTTGTAATAGCTAAATGCCATCAACTGATGAATGGATAAAGATTGGGGTTTTTTATTTGTTTGTTTGTTTTTGCATAATGGAGTACTGCTCTGCCATAAAAAAGATAAACTCAAGACATTTCTAGCTAAATGGATGCACCTTGAGACCATACTCTTTTTATTTTTTTGAGACCATACTCATGTGAAATAAATTGGATACACCTGTATGAATTTTGCATGTTTCTTTGCATGGTATGAGAAACCAAAAGCATAAATAAGGACAAAAATGTGTAATTGATATTGGGAAATAGGAAGAAAATGTTCAGATGAGAAGAGGAATAAGGGAGAGGGAGAAGGAAAGGATAAAAGGGACAAGAAAGAAAAAGAATGGAAGGAAAACATGGAAATAAGGCTTTTGTAGATAAAGAGGGGAGGGGGGATGAAGGGAAGGGAGGAGAATGGAAAAAAGCAGCAGCACAATATGGCACGTACCAGTATGAATTCCCTGTGATGAGCATGATCGTTATGTACATCTGAAGTGCACCAGTAAAATAAAAAGAAACAGATTCTAACATATACATAGAGAAAACCAAGTTCTTACTTTTAAACCTGATAATACTGACTTTTAGTGATTATCTCTTTATAGTACAATATCAATATAAGCCACTTTTTTTTTCCTTTCTTGGAAAAGTAACTCAACAGCTGTGGACAAAAACTTTGCGATCTTCTGTGACAAAGAACTTTATTTTTGTATCTCCCTTTTCCAGCTGGTCTCAAACAATATACTTGCTCATTAAATTCTGTTCAATACATATAAGGAAGGATGGATCTCTGCTGGCATAAGTAAGTTCACATTGTTTATAAAGCTGTAATGCGGTAGGCACAGCAGTAGGAAAGTGGGACAGAAAAAAGAACATTCTGCGTTTGGCATATAAGACCTCAAGACCTGTGCATAGTAATCACTGAGTTAGAAGGATGTGTACTGATTTCAGAAGTAGTTTTTTTTTAAAAAACTGGGGGAGGTGGAATTTGGATTTATCGCTTTGTGCAAAGTTAAAAAAAAAATCCACAAAGATGTCTTTGCCACAATTTCTCGGAAGAGCTCTTCAAAGAAACAAAACGTCAATGCTTTATCAAGAGTGAGCAGATACATCGGTGTGGGAAATCCTATGGTGATTCAAGACCTCTGTGAATTCCTGTGGTTCCTAGCAAGTCCCCAAGCATTGCGCTTCCTGCCACATCTCTCTGCTTGTGTAGAACAAGATGGTACCAGTTGGGCATCGTGCCTGAGGCAGAGAAAAAGCTCTGACCTGAGTCATAAGGCCCAGCTGCGAATGTGGCTCTGTACTCTGCCCCTGAGCAAGACAACGCTGAGCCTGATTCCCCTTCCTAAAGCTATGTTTTTGAAAAATTAACCTCCTGAAAACAAAATACTGAGAAAATTGTCTATATCCTGGCCACCACTGTATCTGATAATCACACTGGTTCTGACGGGCAGCGGAAGCTTCTCTGCACTGTTACCATTTGCCCAGCATTGACTGAGTGCCTGTCTGAACTGTGCTACTTACAGGCCCAGGAAGTGTTAGGGATCTAGATCGGATCCCTGTGCTTGCACCTCTAGGCTTTTGGCTCCAGAAAGTAATTCATCTGAAGGGAGAATGTTTTTGCAGAAAGATAGTCCTTGGAGGCATGCCTGAAACTGTTAGGGAAAACTTTTATAAACAGCAAAACCCTATGAAGTGTTACAATGTAAAGTGGCTTCTGCTTCTCTAACAGAAGTTAGTTTGTTGAGCTGAAAACTGATGGGCACCAATGGCAATAATTGCTGAATGAGGCATTGGTCTGACCTTGAGATAACAGGGCACAGCAAGGTCTTGAGCTCCCTGAGAGACTGAAGCCCCCTGATCCTAAGAGTGTCTAAATGAAAGAACCCATTGCTAACGTTTGCTCCCCTGACCCTGAACACTCCCCTTTCCTGTGGACTAGAATAGATAACTAGGCAAATCTTCAAGGTACACTCCCCAACTGCAAAGAGCTGTTATGTCTGGGTTGAAAGGATTAACTATTCTGTGACCGTGCTTTGAACTGTGAGAATGAAGTCAGGGCTGTGAAACCCTATAAAAGGAGGAGTTGTAACCCGCTGCGTTGTCGATCTAGGCACGGCTTGTGTGCGATCGACCCTTATCGGTAAGTAAATTTATTATTTTACTTCCATTCTGCTGTCTCTCTGTGTCGCTTACTGATTCCTTCTGTTACAAAACAATAAAACCAGATGTGTACAACCTAGATATTTACAAAACAACTGTTTCATAAATTTAGCAACCCAACAGTTTCATTGAAGAGAGTATTCTACCTTCTCCAATTAAAAAGAATACCCCCTGGCAGGGCCGGCCTGTACCCTGTGGAGGTGGTAGGTGGGTTTTTTTATTATTATTTTTGGAAGGGCTGCTGAAGCAGTCTTGAGGGGTGGTTACTTGGAGGATGGGACAAAGGGGTATGTGATGGTGACAAGTCACAAAGGACAGCAGAGGATAAATGCAGTGGTGTGAAGAGAAGTAGGCAGCAGCCTTGCAGGGAGATGGTATGTTGCCTTCCCTCCCTCTCTCGGGGACTCGATTTGTAGCTCGCAAAGATGTCTGAAGTGAAGAGAACCCTAAGCAGTGAACATGTGCTACCTTACCACACAGCCCACAGCTACCGCTCGATGGGCGTGTTTCATACCTCCATGGGGGACCTGCAGCGACAACTGTACAAGGGAGGCGAGTACGAGATCTTCAAGTACGCGCCCATGTTCGAGAGCGACTTTATCCAGATAAGCAAAAAGGGAGAGGTGATGGATGTACACAACCGCGTCCGGATGGTGACTGTGTGCATCGCGTCCACCAGCCCCATTCTGCCACTACCTGATGTCATGCTGCTGGCCCGGCCAGCTAAGGTCGGTGAAGAACACACCAGATGCAGCCTGCTCACCAAGAAAAGAAGTCAGAAGCCCAAGAAGACTCTAGAGCTCACCAGGCTACTTCCCTTGAAGTTTGTCAAGATCTCCATCCATGACCACGAGAAACAGCAGCTGCGCCTGAAGCTCGCCACAGGCCGGACTTTCTACCTGCAGCTGTGCCCCTCCTCAGATACCCGCGAAGATCTCTTCCGCTACTGGGAAAAGCTTGTTTATCTCCTGAGGCCACCGGTTGACAGCTGCAGCAGTACCCTCACGGTTCGGACTGGGGATGCAGCCTCTCCTGAGGACAAGAGCCTACTGGTGAGCAACTGGAGCCTCAGGGAAGTGGGGCAGGGTGCTCAGGAAGAGAATCCCAAAGCAGGTCCTAAGGACTCTGGGTGCTAGGAGATGTGCTGCATTTGAAAGGGCTCAGGGCCCATGAACTACCATGAGGGTGCTTAGCACCCTGGGAAATTCAAGTGCTTCTCCAAAATGCAGTCGAAGGCCCATTGTCAAACATCTTAGGTATCAACTATATAATCTCATACCCAGTGCTGTAACCACTTCTACAACATCCTGACGGCCCAATCTCTTAAACATTTTACACTTGATCCCATTCATTACAGAACTTTTTTTGTTTTGTTTTGTTTTTTGAGACAGGGTCTCACTATGCAGTTCATACTGCTCTGCTCTGGAACTCACTGTGCAGCCCAGGCTGGTCTCAAAGTCACAGCGATCCTCCTGCCTCAGCCTCCTGAGAGCTGTGATTATAGGCATGCGCCACCACGCCTGGCGTGGAACATTTTTAAAATACATGTTTTTATACTTTAAGTGACGCATAGTAACTGACATATTTATATAGTACAGTGTGATATTTCAATGCTTATATACAATGTGTAATAATCACATCAGGGTAACATTACCTTAAGCATTACCTTTACCTTTATGCCTGGTATAGTCAAAATCCTCTTTATTGGTTTCTGAAATATACAGCTAATTTTTGTCAACCAAGTTATCCTACTAGGACTCAGAACGCTGTGTTAATCCTCCCATCCAACTCCACCTGGCACCCGTAAGGTACACACTCTCCCCAGGTTCCGATAGTCGCTACTCTGTTCTCTACTTCTAGGAGACTAACTTTTTTGTGCAGAACACTGTTAATAATTAGGGGGTCTTGTGATAAATGGGAGCTGAGAGGTGATGATTTCAAGGGTTCTAGCGTAAGCCCTTGAGTTGCTCAGCTCCAGGATGGGAGCATTAGACGCTTCTGACTTTGTTTTCTTTGTCTCACCTGTTCCCTCTCCACATTTTTGGCATAGGGTTCAGACCTCCATGGAGAAGGGGATCGGGATTCTAGGATTCTGAAGCTTCCTGAGGTCCGTGGAGCCACCTCTTCGGCTTATGCAGGGGGAGAAGGAATCCATCACGCTTCTGCAGGATCATCCAAAGCAGAAACAGCAGGAACAAAGAGTGGTATTGCAGTTCTTGGGGCAAGCACCGGCCCTACAGCAGGCATGGCAATGGCAGGGACAGTGACGGGGCCCACAGCTGGTGCTATGAGCATGGCAGCAGCCAAGTCCACAGGCTCAGGTCAGGCAACCATGGCCATGGCGGGGACAGCCACCAAGGATACAGGAGAAGGCGGATCCAGCAAGGCCATGGCAGCCGCTGCCAGCATATCCTCATCTGATGTCCACATGGTGCTGGTGGGCGCTGCCAGTACCTCCTCAGCAGGCGCCTCCTTTACTGCAGGGGCTACTGGCGTCTCCCGGGACAATAGTGTGAACATGGTTTTTGCAGGTGCCATGACGACCATGGCACCTGTGCCGGAAAAAGATGAAGGGTCTGTAGTGGCACCCCTTGTATCAACCTTGCAGAGCGAAGGCTACATGTGCGAACGGGATGGCAGCCAGAAGGCTCCCCAGGTCAATGCTGAAGCCAAGAAGACAAAAAGGGAAAGAAGAGAAAAGAAGGACAGAAATGTCAGCAGGAAATCTTCACATCAACACAGGACAGGTGAAAGTCACCACCACAGGACAGGTGGGGACAAAAGCCGGAAATCATCCTCCCACCGGTCTGTGTCTGGCCATGGGCACAAGACAGAGGAAAGAAAAGAAACGGGGTTGAGCAATGTAAGGGGCAGGGGACATGGCTCCCCTCACAAAAGTTTCAGCCACAGCTCCTCCACCAAGGAGTCCAGGACCTCTCACAAACTGGGGAAGAGACGATCTATGACCAGTTCAGGCTCTTTAAGCAAGAAATCAAGTAAAATCAGCTCTTTTTTGAGGAACTTTATAACTGTGCCGAGTTCAAAAGCAGCTCTCATCTCACGTGACAAAGAAGAAGACATCGTGGCAAAGAAAGTGGAGAAGTGCAACATAGAGACAAAGGTGGATAAAGGCCAGGGTGGCCAGGAGCTGGAGATCAGCGGCACCATGACATCTGAGACAATGGAGACCATCATCTTTGAAGCCAAACCCATTTAGATAGGAGCCAGAGCAGGGAGCTATAACAACAATGGAGAGCTGGGCTCAGAAAAGCATCTCCATTCAGCCAATTACGGTTTAAATAATAAAGGTCATACAACTCCAAAAGTGTGATGTCTTCTGTTTGAATGTCTCTGTCCCACGGGCTGGCAGTGACCTCACAGAGGCTTTTGTGATGTTAATGCTCCAGACAAGGACAGCCTCACATCCCCCAGACTCCAGAGAGCCAATGTTGAACAAAGAGCTTCAAGTCCTTTCTGCTTTTGGTTCCCCAAGACTATGGAGGTCACAGGCTTGACATATCACCACCATCCTTTCCCCATGTCCCTCTTCCCTTCGTCCTGAAGGTCTGTGAAGATGGAGATTCAGTCCAGTCCACAGACTAAGAAAGACTAACCTCCTATTTCCATGGGGGAAGGAGAGGGTGCAGCAACATTTATATGCAAGTGGAACAGCAGAGACACCATGAGATCAGGACTTAGCTACTCATGTTCAGAGGATCAAACAATAGCCAGCTGCTTAGATCTGTAAGCAAAGTGTTACTGGAACATAGTCACAGAAATTCATTTTTGTATGGCCTTGGCTTTTTTTTTTTCAGCTTTGAGTTTATTGGTACATTTTAGGTATACAGTACAGTTACATTCATTGTTGGGATCTTGTACCTCTTACGTGACAAGTCTTGGTTCTCATTTTTTCCCTTTGTCCCTGCCCTCCCTTCACCCCCTCCTCCCTTCCCCATCTATAAACACTTTGTTTCCATCTTTTCATTATCTCACATTTTTTTCTTTTCCTTTATTACCCTTCCCCTACCCATCCCACCTTCCCTACGCCTTTAGCTCCTTTCTTCCCATTTCTCAATGTCAGTAATCTTATTAGGATCTTCTGTATTATTGCAGATTATTCACACCAGAGAATCTATTTGGTATTTACACATGTGTGCCTTATTTATTTCACTTAGGAGTATATCCTCAATATGTACCCATTTTCCTATGAATGAATCTATTTTCTCGTTCTTTGTGGCTGAGTAATATTCCATTTTATAGAAAAACCACATCTTCTTTATCCAGTTTGCAACGGATGGGCAAATGAGCTGTTTCCAAGTTTTAGCTATTACAAACTGTGCCGCTATAAACAAGGGTGTACATACTTCTCTGTGATATGATTCTTTTAGTTCTTTTGGAAAGATACCCAGCAGAGGGATGGCTGGGTCAAATGGAACCCCCAGTCCAAGCTCTTTGAGGTATCTCCATATTGATTTCCACAGTGGTTGCACCAGTCTGCACTCCCACCAACAATGGAGAAGGGTTCCTTTCTCCCCACAACCCCGCCAACATTTATTATTGTGTGATTTCTTGATAGCAGCCATTCTTTGTGGGGTGAGGGGGAACCTCAGTGTTGTTTTCATCTGCATCTCTCGAATGATCAGTGATATGGAACATTTTTTCATATATTTACTTGCTGCTTTTACTTCTTTGTCTGATAAATGTCTGTTCATTTTG